ACCTGACTCCATTTACTCTTTTGAAAGGGGCTCTGATAAAAACTCTCCCAGGACCGTAAAGTTCACCAGAAAAAGGCAGAAGTCACTCTGAACCTGCCCTAGAAACACAGCATTTATCTCCAACATGGTATCTGTAGAAAGAGCACGTTCCTCTCGTGCTAGCCATCTTCCCCCTATTCACCCCGCACTCGCTGTAATTCTACAACTAACGAGTGGGAGGAAGATTTCAAAAATTGCTTTTTGTCATTCAGATGACTCAATCAAGCCCAGGGGACTTAACGAGGGCACAATCATCATTTATTCAATTTAGTATTCTAAAGAACATTCATTAAAAAGGGAGTTTGGGGGGCTGGGGTTTCAAACGTGATACATTTTCAGTGAATTTTAAAGAGACTTTTAAATGTACAAGGGACCTTACCTCCTTCCCTCTGGGATATTTAAGCGGATGTGTCATCGGGATGGCTCAAGCAGCGAATGTCGATTCATCTGAATCAGAAAGGTGGATATTCTAGTTGCGTGTTCATGGTGCACCACGGCTGCTGAATTATTGAGCAGAAAAACTCTCTTTGATCCATGCTATGTAGCCAACATACCAATCTCTTACTTGTCAGCCTCCCAGAAAGCCATTCATTTTTCAAATGTTTGCAAGGAGGATGCTGCGGTATGTTATTTTTCCTACCGCAAGACATTTCCAATCCCTTTCAGGCTCTAAATTGATATGTAGCCACCATGTTCTTAGCCGAATACAAAGAACTATTTCTGGGATTTCAGATTTGATTGCCAGTTCATGCAGGAAAGTAGTAAGATGAAGAAAAAAAAATCCTCAACTTTGATTCCTGGCTTTTTGTCTATTCGAAAAACCTTGATGTTGAATGCAGGCTTGTGCTTTACTGAAAGCTACCAGGAATACATTTTATTACCAAATCAATATACTGAGTTTCAATGTCCTGAGCACCATATCTCTTAGATGTTTTTAGCCTCCGTTTAAATAGAAAGAGAACTTTACCAATGCATGAGAGTGGGAGAGCGAGGTTCAGATATTGCACTGAAAGGTCATGTGTGGGAGTTCAGTGTCTGAGTGAAATGAAGAGATAGCCATCACGCTCAGTCTGCGGAATACGTTATGCAAAAAAGGACTGTAGCAAGCTCACCAGTCATTTCACTTTCACGCATGGTTTCCAGACCCACGGCTCACGAAATGGGTAGGCGGGGTGTGGGGTTTATATCCCGTGACTCAAACGCGTCAGGGTTTACGTTTGATTGCTTCAGCACAATAACCCCTCACATCAAATGTCTTGCGCATCGCAAAGCCCAGTGACACACAGAAACATGGTCATAATTTCAAATCTAGTGATATTTCATGAAGTGTTGCCTCGCTTGAAAGTGGAGATAGTTATGTGGGCACATAAACACATCTCCTCCTGAAAGATATCTCCACTCTGCTCTCATTTTTTTCAGTCATATTCCTGTTTACCGAGAAGCCAGTACACTAAAATTTGTAAGGGTGGGTATTAAATAGTGAGGCCGGAGGTGTAAACAAAAAATAAAAAAAATACACTTTGCAGTGCAGAAATGCATTTCTATATTTATGTGTCAGTTGATGCACAAATACATTGCAGTTTTAGTAAGTGCATTTAGTTAACAAAATTATATCTAATTTTATATATTATTGTTATTATATAATTATTATTATATACAGTATTTATTGTACCAATGCTCTTTCCTTGCACATTTGTACAGATGCCAGTAAACAAATGTCAGTCAAGCCAGTTATGTTTTGATTACTATCTTCTTTTTGTTGGTTCTATGATAAGTTTATAAAATAGAATGACCAATTTGATCAAATAGAATGACCAGAACAATTGAATTTTTATCATTTTCTTTTGTAATTTTTTTAAATTAACGCATCAATGCCATTTATTATATTACACATTTTATTTCTCATATGCGTTAATGAACACGTTAATTATGACAGCCTCAATTTTTCACATAGTTCCCCAATATTATGGTCCTCAAACTTATTACCTGCTTAAACTGTTGATTATACTGAAATTATTATTAATTTCTCTAGTCTAATAGCATGCTTTTTATGTAAGTATGTCTGATCCACTTAGAATGAAAAGATGAGGCCATAAACTCTGTTTTGATGTTTTTATAGGACAAGCTTTTTGTTACATAAACAGTATAAACATGCTTCAATAAAATCTGTTATTATCGCACTTTTGATGAGAAGAACCATTGTGAGAAACATCCTCTGTCAAACCAAAAGCATCAAACAGATTGATATCCAGATGTTTAATGTCCCACGGTTCTGCAACATGTTTCTTGCTTCAATGCAAAAGAGAGGGAAAACAGAAGAGGGAAACGTCTATTGCATTGAGCCATGCCATGGTTAATGATGCCAGATAGAAATACGGGAGACAGAAAAGTGACGGATGAGGGAAGAACGAGAGAGGATTGTGTATGCATCTGTTCTTTACATCAAACAGAGTTTGGAACAAAAAAATACGAAGACGAGGGTTTCATATGTGGCAATGATCCAGCTTCAATTAAAAGTAGGCCAGAAATGTCACTTTTCTACTCATTATGTCAGTCAGTCATTGAATGAAAGTACATACAGTATGACTTTTTTTCTCTGAAGTGTGTCATTTCTGTGACAAAGCAGCATAATTGGAATTGCAAAAATAATGCCTGTTTTTAGGTTTCTCCCATTGGCCATGGCCCTATACCCACATTTCACTGCATGTGGTTTTATAAGCACCAGTGTTTTCAGAGAAATCAGTACTGATTTTCTTAGTAGTGTCCTCGTGTCCAGACTGTCCAATCTTTTTGTAGTTGTCTCTGCCCATAAAGACTGAGATTGAAAGTACTATAACAGAAAAATATACACATCAACTTTAATAAACAATCCAATGTTGCTTTATCATTCTGTTTTCTTTATTCTCAGGCATTTTGAGACACTTTGAATGGCAGGCAATTGTCACGCAGCTGAGAGAAAGTGTCTACTAAAGCATTATCATTGTGATCAATGACCCAGTTCACTTGGCATCCAACTGTCAAGTATCATTCCGTGATGCTGAATACTATTTACTCTTTAGGAAGTAACAGTGGCTTGACTTTGAATAATAAGCAAGCATTTGACTTCACATGTCACTGCCACATTATCTATTGTACATTTTTTTAAATTTCCTGATGCTACCGAAGGCTAAAGATTGGATCGGTTGTGCACAGGGCCGGATTTACCTCTTTTTGTGACATAGGCAAAACTAATTTTTGGGTCCCCCTTCCCTATGAATATAATAAGCCTAATATTACCACCCAAGCAAACTAAAATATTTCTTAATCATTTGACACGTTACAGTGTTTTCTATCGCAATAAGCGCTTGCGTTGAATGTAGTTCTTAATTTGTTTGAGAACTGAGAAAGACCATTCCATTAATAGGTGCTGTGACGTGGCCACATATCCACTTCTGGAGTTCATTATTACTCTAATAATTTTAACGGCCTGGAGACACAATCACACATCAATTGTTCAGGGCTGCGTTTCCCAAAAGCATTGATCTTAGCTCCATTGGTTTCAATGGGTCTACGATGTACTTAAGCTTACGATGCTTTTGGGAAACACAGCCCAGATGATTTGTTTCAAGACATTTGACATGTTTCTGTCCTGAAATCTCGTGTGTGTTGAACTAGCTAATTTTGTACGCACCTCATCTCAAACCTTCCGTTGCAAATTCTAAAACGTCATTTTAGAGCTAATAACAGAGGCTTGAGCTGTTGATATGCAGGCTAATGCAGTTATTAATGCAGTCTAACACAGTTATTAGAGAGAGAGAGCGAAAGAGAGAGAGGGAGAGAGAGAGAGAGATTAAGTGCGTTTGAATACCCGCGTCTGTGCGTCTCTCAGCAGTATTCAGCAGCAGCGTCTTCTAATAGCGAATCTTTAAGTTGAACTGCTTCAAGAACCTTGCTACTGAGAAATGTCATGTAGCTTTTCAGCTGCAAAACCATTTAACTGATAAATTCGCGGGGCAGCCGCAGCTCTGACAACGAGTTTCTGGTCGCGTCTCCGCGTGTGTGCTACTGTGTGCATCTGTGAGAGAAAAGCGTGATTTCCGTACATAAAAAAATGGAAATAGTTTGTCATTTTTATCCTATTGTTTGTTATATTTATTTGCTCAATGTCTTCTGGGGTTTTGGTTCTTTTACTGTTGTAGATATCCCATAGTAGCCTATAACAAAAAATATTATATATCTCTTTATTGTGGTTAGGCCCCCCTGGACGAGCAAGCATAGGCACGTGTCTAGAATGCCTATGCGTAAATCCGGCCCTGGTTGTGCAGTGCATTATTGTTGTATTGAGAAAAAGCACAAAAAAATGAGAAGCATCTGTATTTATGCAAAATTTTAGGAATGTAAACCAAGTATGGGCTTGTGTAAGAATGTTTTCAGGAATTATTCAGACATTGATTGCATGCGTATGGTAATTATCTGTTTTGTCAGGGAAGTGTGTGGATGATGTCTACTCAAGTTATTTGGTCTGTTTTGGTCTGCAAAAATAAAATACAACTAATAGAACAATCATGCATATACTGTAGTTAGCATAAAAAAAATGTAATGGAGGATAAAACACTTCCTATATATTTTGCTGTACAGTTGACCGTACAATCAAACTCAACAGTGTTTTGTTTTGTTGTTTTGTTTTTTAATTCATCAGTAATTTTATAATATGGCTAATACAACAAACTACAGTATGTTGTTTATGCATTTTTTTGTGTTTACTGTAATATTAATATACTTTAATGCTTGATTAAAAAGATTGTTTTTATTATTTTATACAATTAATCATTTTGGTTGCCAATGTAAAATCTTGGTCCTGAAAGCAAAACCGATGGAGAACTACTGCTCTATATGAGCAGCAAATTGACAGTTTAAACACATCAAAGCCTCTTTTGTTTGATTATCTATAGAACTGTACTCATTGTGTCATCTTATTGCAGATTCGATCGGACCAGGACAAAGAAATTGAGATCCGGTACAGTATAACAGGAGCCGGAGCAGACCAGCCTCCCAATGACATCTACATCATTGATCCTGTGACAGGGAAAATGTCTGTCACTAAACCTTTGGACAGAGAGGAGAGAGCCTCCTACCATGTAAGTGCGCCTCTTTCCAGAGTTGGCTCGGAAAGATAATTTTTGCCCTATACAGATCCTATTTAAAGTGGAACAGTCCTCAACCCATTTAAGAAACATACTCCAGTTTGCAAGAGTTTATGGCCTTTTGCCAGTCGGAATAAAACTAGAACTGAACTGTTTTTTTTTTACTATATGCAGTGATCCCAAAAAGTGTTTGGACACTTAAAAATGTATGAATACCTTTACATTATTGAACAAAATAACAAAATTCAGACAAGATTTTTTTCAGACTTAGTTTAACATGTTCTTGTGTCATTTCTGTGAACATGTGCAATATATATGTGTGCGTGTGTGTATGTATGTGTGTGTGTATCCCATGCCTACAAATGGCTGAATTTCATTAATTTACAAAATATTAAAACAAGTAACTTTTGCAAAAAAAAAAAGTTTAAACTTTTCTAGAACTAACCACATTTTCTGAGATACCAAAAGGTCATTTTTTGAGGATGTATGAAGTCAGTTCCTCTAAAGTCCATGGTTTTCCAAACAAAATTGGTGTTCCAGAAATTAGTACAACCAGAAAGTGTCCAAATACTTTTTGCCTTCATTTTGAACAATATACTACTTACTTAATACTTGCAAAGCTAACGGACGTCAATTTGTGAAATGTTTTGATTTAAAAGTGAGTTTGTGCTATATAGATCATTAAAATAAATAGCTTTTGTTTTAATACTTCATGTAATGCAAATACATTGTGGCTCAAGTGGCTAAATGTATATATAAACTATAGTTTGAATGAATATTAATATCTCTCGGCTGTTCAGGATAACTTTTAATCAGGACTCAAAGGCCTACAAACTCAGAGATCTGACTTGATTGCGAACCTGATTGGTTCCAGAAGGTTCTAGCCATCAAAACAAGTGCAGTTGCCTTGTCAGCCTTTTTAGATATCGAAGACAAAGCTACAGACTTAGTAAAGCTACTGCTTGTTAAGCAAAGTTTGGATAAATCTTAAGATTCATACTTCATTGTGCAATTAAGTCTATTCAAACTGCTTTAATGCATTAAAAACAAATCGTTTCGGACCCGCTGGCTGGCGTCACTTGTTAGGGGTGCTTTTTTATTTTGTTTTTGTTCCGTTATTCTGTTTATGTGGCTCTTTTCCTTATGAATAATGTGAAGAAGAAAAGCTAGAGACAAAGAAAAGAATTGCTTTGACACATCAGGGTTTTTTTTTTCAGTTAGTCAAACTGTCAATTAGACGAAGGTTCAGTAGCAATGTGCAGATGAGAGAGGGAGAGAAAGGGAATGAAATAGTCTGGAAAAGAAGTGTTGAATTGTCACAAGTGATGAGTATGCAACTCCCAGTGCTTTAACTCAACTGGGGAATCAAATCAAACAGCGACCCTGCCCCCTTATGTTTCTGCCTGTCACCCCAGGCTGCCAGCAATCCTTCCCTCCACCACATCTTCCCCTACTGTCACTCTCTCACGCGCTCCTAACACAACACATTGCTTTTGATTCTCACGGTTGTTCCTTACAATTATAACTGCCTCTTTATCTCATCTCTTTTGCAGGAAGTGTCAGTAGGCCCTTAGTATATATTTAGATCGGCTATAAAACGAGTTCTTCTCTGTTTGTGGCTCCTACTTTTGACTCATGGCTCCCTTTCTCTCTCACTCCGCCTCTTTTCTCTTAACTCTCTGGTCCATTGAGCAGTAGATGATGTGGCACTGTACGTCTACCTATCAGTCTAAATTACGGCTAGGCTTGTCTCACCAGGTGTGTGTGTAAATGTGTGTCTGCATATCTGAATAAGTCAGCACCCACGGTGGTTAAATTCGCTGGTGTGTGTGTGTGTGTGAGTGCATACATTTTCTAAACATAGTGAGCTCGCTTTGGAGGCATTGTACTATGGAGGCTGTCCCAAAAGGTAGGTAACTTAATTATGCTGTCACTTAAGATACCTCATTCGGGTCAAAATCAGAGGTGACACTGCATAAATCCTCTGTATATATGCAATCCCAGAATGCATTGCGACAGGCTTAGTGAAAAAATAAATATATATTTATGTAAATGTATAATATATATAGACATATGTATAAATATACATATATTTAATATATATTACTGGTCAAAAATATGCAGTGTTCAGTGTCACATGATCCTTTAGAAATCACTATAATATTTTGATTTGGTGTTCCATTATTATCAATAAGATTTGGTGTTCAATTATTATCAATAAGTATTGGTCTCCTTTATTAATTATGGTTATTATTAATATCAATGTTGAAAACTGCTGCTCTTTATTTTTCTGATATATTTTAGCAGCATTTTTTGATGAATAGAAAGTTCAAGAGAACAGTATTTACTTAATCTTTAAATCATTATAAATTATTTACTCTCACTTTTAATCAATATAATACATCTTTGCTGAATAAAAGTATTACTTTCTTTAAATTAATCATTTAAATGAATGAATTACTTTAATTTTACTTCTTTAAAAACACTTCTGAATGGTAATGTTTAATGGTTTCCACAAAAATATATATTTATATAGCAAATCATCATTTTAAATTGTAATAATATATCACAATATAAAAATGTTTACTGTATTTTTGTCAAATAAATGTAGCATGGTGTTTTAAAAAACAGCTTTCCAAAACATAAAAAAAATACTCCAGACTTTTCACCAATTGTGTTCATCTGTCACGGCTCGCTACTGTGAGGAGCGCGGAGCGAGGAACGAGGAGACGCAGAGTCGAATTCAAACTTAGACTTTAATAATATCCAGGGAAACAGGAAACCACACGTAGCAAGGGTAGACATCAACAATTCCAGACAAGGGAGAACAGAACAGGCAAGAACTCAAATAGGGCAGATAATGAGGGGCAGACAGGTGACGAGGATAACTAATAAAGAGAAACACCTGGAACTAATAGAACTAAATGGGGACAGGAACAGGAAGGACCAAATAAGGACTAACAGGAACATACACGTGACATTACTCCCCCCTCCCGGAAGGCACGTCCCACACCCTAACAGTTACAGCGGGGGTGTGGTTGCCCTGAAGGCTAGTGCAGGGCAGGAACTAAGTGGAGCCAAGGAGGGCCTCCAGGGCAGATCAGGGAGCCAGGGAGCCCAGGAACCATGGCGAAGCAGGCAGTTCAGGTTGCCATGGCGAAGCTGGTAGCTCAAGGGGCCATGGCGGAGCAGGCAGTCCAGGAGGGCATGGCGAATCCTCCATGACCTTAGCCGGCTCAGCCACCACGGCCACGGGCATATGCCCCCCGCCCCACAAAAATTTTCTTGGGGAAAATTAGGAATTCTGGAGGGCGCTCTGGAGGTGCAGGGCTGGCTAACTCGGGGGAATCAGGAGACGAAGAAGGGCTGGACGGGACCAGCGGAGACGAAGGACAACTTTCTGGAGCGGCTTCTGGGTTGAGGATAGGAGCCGAAAACTCTGGAGGTAACGCCATGTCCAAGGGCGCCGAGTCAGCTGCGGCCGGCGGGCTTGACGTAGGAGAGGCCAACGAGTTTGACAGCGACCTGGTTCTGGATCGGGGCCAGACACTCTCCAGACACCAAAGGATCCCTTCCCTCCACCTTAGTCCAGTGGTGTCTGGGAGGTCCACGGGGCAATGGTAATTAGCCCCGATCCAGAACAGCGAGTTGAGCGTGGCGTCGTCCAAAGCCGTCGCCGCGGCGAGCCCACAGAATTCCCAAGCGTACTTCACGAAGGGGAGATCTCTGTGGGCTAAGGCGGCGAAATAAGCGGCAATTTCCATGATCGCAGGGGGAAAACAGTGAAAATAAAAAACTTTCAAAAAAACAAAAACGGGGAGAAGGAGCACCGTTTACTTTTTTTGTTGGGTCTGGAATTCTGTCACGGCTCGCTACTGTGAGAAGCATGGAGTGAGGAACGAGGAGACGCAGAGTCGAATTCAAACTTGTAGACTTTAATAATATCCAGGGAAACAGGAAAACACATGTAGCAAGGGTAGACATCAACAATTCCAGACGAGGGAGAACAGAACGGGCAAGAACTCAAATAGGGCAGATAACGAGGGGCAGACAGGTGAGGAGGATAACTAATAATGAGAAACACCTGGAACTAATAGAACTAAATGGGGACAGGAACAGGAAGGACCAAATAAGGACAAACAGGAACTAAATGGGAACATACACGTGACATCATCTGTGTCTGTTTGTGTATATTATTATTATTATTGTTGATTTTGTATAGTATATCATTAAAGTAATTGAATGTTAATATATATAATTGGTTTAAAGCTTATGATTATATAAAATGACACCCTGTGTTTTGTGTTATTTATTTATCCATTCATGATTGATTTATTGATTGATTGATTGTGTATGATTTGTATTTGTATAAGAAAAATGTAGGCAGTGAGACAACTCAGTAGGTTTTATTAGGAAACGATTGTGTGTGCGTGTGAGCATAAATGCATGTTTACGTTCAGTTAGACATTGCCTGCAGTTAGTGAGTCAGGACGATAGGCGTATGAGCACTGCTAAGGTTAAGTGGCCCCTTGGGTCTTGTGCGGCGGTTAGCTTATGCAGCCCCTCTGTTACTCACCATAGTATGAATATCCATATGACTTCTCATATCTGGTATCTGCTCACAATTTGCTCTCTAACTCTGGATGTTCTAGTGCAGAAAGCCCAGTTTTATACACAAGACTTTTGACGTAATGTATGAGGAAGTTGATTCAGTTAGAGCCTTCTTGAGTAGAATACAATACTTTTTATCAGCGCATCACAAGGGCCGGAATTGGTGTCTCCAGTGCTGCAATTGAACGCAGTCATGAACTTATTACAAGGACAATCCCCCCGGAGCAACCTGAGGTTAACAATGGTGATGGCTCATAATTAACAACAATTGTGTTAACAATAGTGATGACTCCCTCGTCACAGAAACCAGACCAGCAGCTGGCTATTTAAAGCTGATCTTTAAGTCAGCATGAAATGAAAATAGACTAGATTAATTTTCATAATTCACATTTGTGGTTTTATTGTTTAATATTCATCAATGAATGTCATTGCAAAGATAAAAATGGAATTAACTATATGTTTAAACAAAATGTACATTCACGTTCAAAAGGTTTTAAAATATGCTCACCAAGGCTGCATTTATATATTCAAGAAGACAGTAAAAACAGTAATATTGTGAAATATTAGTCCAATTTAAAAGCACTGTTTTTCTATTTGAATATATTTTTAAATCTAATTTATTCCTATGATGACAAAGATGAATTAGAATTTAAAATAGATTTGTTTTTAAAAGTAGCCCTATTTAGTTACTGTTATAGTTCATTCATTTTGCCTTTCTTTCTTTTTTATTTATTGGCTTTGTTGCCTTAATTTGACAGGATAGTGGAAAAGTGGCAGGAACATACAGGGTCAAATATCCAACAATTCAGTCTCTGTAAACATTATGGAAGTGAAATAGGTTGCAAATGCAGTTTCATTTTGACATAAACCACTGCAGCTCTTGGATTTTTGATGAACTTGGAATTTAGATATTTGTTTGTTAAACCTACACAACAAAAGTATGACTTAATTACGAATACAATCACTTTTACGTCTTTCTCAAAGTTTCTCCATAATTGGCCCAGAACTGTTAAAACCTGTAAACAACAAACAAGCTCAGGTGTCTCATTAAAACAAGGGAAGTTGTCTTCACTCACAGTATTGATTGTGTTTTGTTTAAAAGTGAGTCTAACGACCACTTTGATATGTAAATGATAATGATGAAGGGGTACTGTGAGGGTACATTAGGCAAAAAAAAAAGCTCGAAAAACACTGCCCTATCCTAACAATGGCCATGGCAAATGTACTGCAGTCACGACACTGACCTTCTAGCTATTTCTGTGGTTTGTAGTTTTCCCTCACTTTGTGAGTTTCCAGTTGTTTTTCTTCACTGCCCACAAGTCTCCCACCACTAGAGTGTGTTGCAGAATTTAAAAGCTGATGGCTTTGACACAGTGGCAAGAGAAGAAACTAAACAAAGGGATAAAGAACTAGAGGAGGATTCTCTGATTCTCAGCCCATCTCTCTCTCTCTCTGTCGCTCTGTCTCTGTCTAGCGTTTTAGTCCTGTCAGCTAGCATGTTAATAATGCCATTAAGCCTCACATTTGCAGTCCGCACGCTCTCATGGGTCGACAGATCAAAGATGCAGTGTCTCAGCCACTAACAACAGACAATCTCACACATATCTACATGCTCTCACACACACACACACAGCCACCTCATCAACCCATAGAGAATGCTAAGAACAGCAGCAGAGGAAACAGATTTTCCTGTTGTGTGTCTTTATTTATTTGTTTGCTTGACAGTTAGTTTTGCCGTGCACAACAAAAACCTGTCGTCTTGGATGATATTAAATGAGAGCATTTGGCGGCAGGTGTCGTATTACTGCAGAAATGCATATAGAATCTCGATGTTCCCTTGTATAGTGTATGGAGCAATGCAACCCTCTTATTTGGGATGTAATTCCGGGGAGGGATTTTAGGATAATAGTTTTATTTAGTGCGTGTGCATGTAATTCTGTAGTGAATAAATTCAAAGAAGAGAATTTGGAGTTAATCCAGCTTTAAACCTTTCCTCTATGCCTCTCTTTTTCTCTCTCGATCTCTTGCTTTTTTGTTTCTCGTTTCCCCCTCCCTTATCCCATTTCCTGTGGGAATGTTCTATCACTAAAAAAACTATTTTATTTTTTAAGGGGTTGTTTATCTGAATTAAAGAAAGCGTTATCTCACCTCACACTTTTTTTTTTAGAGATCTAACCAAAATAGGTTTTTTTTTTTGTTTTGTTTTTTGTGAAGCTAAACTCCAATTCACACTCTGTTCCTCTGGAAATCCTCTCTGAATAATAACTCATGGATTTTAGATAGGAACAGCGCAATGCCTTCCCACCGGAACCCGTATCTAACATATGAAATATGAATGCAATTTCCATTCGGTGCGTCCACTGAGCACGCAGAGATCTTTAAAACCTCTGAGTTTCTTAAATCTGATTTAATATCAGTGCTGTGCTTTCCGCAGAATCATCTGCAGAGGTGAAGTTATGTGATGTTATTATGAATTGTTAATTAATGTGCTTTTATTGTTGTCTCATCCACAGCTCAGAGCCCATGCAGTGGATATTAACGGAAACCAAATGGAGCCTCCTATTGATCTGTACATTTATGTCATTGACATGAATGACAACAGACCTGAGTTTAAGAACCAGGTCTACAACGGATCAGTTGCTGAAATGTCCAAACCAGGTACGTATCCACAATAAAAGTCATAATTGATAATTATGCTGTGATGATGTGTTTCACATTTCTGATGATGAAAATGACCGAAATCATCATTACTTATGACAGCACTAATATATTAACAATCAACATTAAGATCACTCCTAACTTTGTGCGAAGGTATATTATACCATATTTATTATTATTTGTTAATAATGTTTGTATTACTATTTGTTAATCATATTTAATTATGATGTGCAATGATATATTTATATATATTTTTTATAATATTATTTGTTTATTAATTGATATGTGTAGTAGTAATAATAATAATAATTATTATTATTATTTTTATTATTGAGATTATTATTTTAATAATTTAGTAAGATATAAATTCTAATAATGGCATTATTATGATGATGATGATGATGATGATTATTATTATTATTACTACTTACAACTTTATGCATGAGTATATTGTGCCATATATTATTGATTTTATATCATCTTTAATTTTATAAATGTGTGTATACACACACACACACACACACACACACGCACATAAATATATATACATATATATACATACACACACACACATTTATTTATTAATTACTTTCTGATTTATGTATTAATAATATTAATTCTTATTTAAATTTTTTTATTTAATTATTATTTATATAATATATAAATTTAATATACTGTGTGTTTCTACATACTTCTTAATGTCGCACAAAGGTGGCCTAAATGCATTTACACAGAATCACAATCAGAAAAAAAAGATATCTCGTATGCACAGAATTTTGATTATGGATTTGCGTGCACCGCGGACAATAAACAAGATGTGCGCTGATTATTATTATTTGTTTGTGGTATGTGTCAAATTCTCATCACTATTATTGTACTAATTCAAGTCAAACAAGGGAATCTTTTTTTCATCAATCATCAAGGTTTTCCCTTGATGATTTATTGAATACCCCAAGTGAATCAGCCCTTACTATGAACGCTTCTTTGTGCTCTCTGACCCGGCTTTCCCATTGTGTCTAACAAACACAGGTTCAGTTTCTTTCTTTATTCTCCTCCTCTTTGGGTCAGTGTCGACTCACTGAGCAGCCAAAGCATAGACTGTGAGTCAGATTGTGTTCAACTTCTGTAATGTTACGGCCCAGAAAGCTTACCTCGAAGGACAAAAATATACATTTTTATTTTGTTGAGCTCTCCACACAGAAAACTTGATTCTCATGGGAATTCATAAACAAAGAGAAAAAAAGAACTGCACAATATTTTCTGTTTCCCTTCAGTAGAGCATGGGTCTGTTCCACGCCAAACAAGCTCTGTAAATCATCCATGGAAAACGGACTCATTACAGGCTGTTCCATTTTCCCTCTGCTGTCCATGCTGACATCCTCCATGTTTCACATGAATTAAAAACATGAAGTTCACGCAAATTCAAGCTAAACTCATCTCTAGGCTTTCATGAGACCCCAGTTAATCTCATTGCCTTGAAAATGGCAATGCCAATGTTGACCGTTGATATTCTGCGATCACAAGGATTAAATCACAGCAGATGTTTTGTATATTTTAAACATGAACGTTGAAAGAACATGTTTATCAGTTTAACTCACCAAGGGACGCTTGGACCAAACAGATGCTCATATCAGAGTGTCTCTGAAGTATTACAGCGGATTTTCCATCAGCTCCTGCACTACAGGCCATGTTCAAAGAGGAGCATGCAGGGAAGTGTCCTTATCACCAGCCGCAGATGTATGTGAACTTATCAGATCAATTCAACAGAGGGATCCATCTTTAAATTATACATTACTGATTTCATTGCCAACAAAATACCTATTTGGAGGTGTAGACACATAGAGTAATTAAATTGTGTCCATTGCTGCCTAAACACAAGTAATCACCCAATTACTGCGCATTTAGAAGACTGATCCAATTTAAGTTTAATCCAATTCAGCTGTGAATCAGACCTGGATCAAATTAAACTGTTTTGTGTGAATCCAGTAATTTTTCCCCCTCATAATTGTTGATTCATTGGCATGACTGCGAACAATACAAGTAAGAAGTAAAGTAATATTATTTTGTTCTTCCTGTCAAGTCAAGTCAGCATTTATTTTCCTTAAAAAAGGTTTGTACAAGTGGGAGCAAAATTCTCTTACAGGTTCTGGAACTAATTTTTACTTAAAACTACTTTATTTAAAATTATATGACATGCACAGATTGTCTTCATTAATATTTTATTATAGGACAAACATTGGTTATTCAATTTTCTTTTGAATTAATCTTTCTTAATAAGAACAGGAACGTCTCGGTTACGTATGGTAACCCTCGTTCCCTGAAGGAGGGAACGGAGACGTCACGTCGGATGACCGACGAATTGGGATCTCGCTTAGAGAGACCAATCTACTTCGAGTGTAAACTAAACGAGCCAATGCACATTGCATCCAGCTGCTGCATCCAGCTGCTGCTGATCACAGCGTGAGTATAAGTAGGCAGCAGATGCAGCGCATATTCAGGTTTTCGCTGAGGAGCCGAGCCGGTGACCCAGCCGCTCAGCGGTGGTACAGGAGCTGTGGCGACGGGACGTGACGTCTCCGTTC